GGCCACGGGGAGGGACACGCAGACTCCAAGTAATACAACAGGCGTCGGCGTCGAACCCACGACCTCCCGTGTACCAAGCGAGGTAGTTAACATCTGCTAGCCGCCGTGGCGTCCCATATTGTAGATGTGACCAAAGATGAGTTGCCGCAACGAGTGCTCCTGGTTTGTGGAGTTCTGCTTGTTTCAGCTCACATGGGAGAGACTAATCTCAGCCCAAAGGAATATATTTTTTTCACCGCTCACTCGGCAACGCGAGCATCGTTACACGGGCCGTGCGGCAGGAAAATGCTCTCGTTATTGTTGTGTTTTTTTTTACTCTGCTCAGCATGACGGCTAAAAGCGGTCATGGTAACAATGCTTAGCTGCGTCAGTTGATGAAATACTTTCCACGTTTTGAAGTGTTGAGGCCCATCGGAGTGTGGGTGTGGGGTGGTGGTTGTGTGGATGATGCCTCCGTCCGAGCGAGAGAGATCCTGTGGGGGTGAGGGGAGGTCTGTCCAGAATCGCGAACACCCACATTGATTCACATTTCATTTTCGCGCAGCCTTGATTCAAGAGTCAAGTTTGAACTCTATCCGGCTGCGCTTTGCGCCCATGTGTGCGTGTGATTTAGTCACCAGTTGAAGAGAGCTTAGAAATGTGAGCTTAAATGTATTTATGTTAAGCAACAACTGGCCATGAAGCCACACGCGCAGTGAAATATCGACTTGGATTAATAAAAAGTAACGACGTGTGTTTCTGCATGTACGTATGCGTGTTGAACTTCTTTCGCACCGTACGTAGCCGACTGTGCTAGACAACACCGCTGGCTGTGATGTGGTTTGATTTGGCCGACGGGCGCAGGTCGAGATAGCTGATGTGGTCCTGGCAAGTTTAAAAACGCCGCTAAGTAAATGGCGAAAAACCATGCATGCGTTTTTCTGGTCACACTTGCAATATGGGGAACAGCATTCACCCATCTTGGGCTGCCTTGGTGGTTGCTGGTTCTTCCCCCGGGAACTGTCAAGTCGGTGTTTGACCACCACAGTGGCGATACGTTTAAATGCCTCATCTGGTATGCAGGAGGGTCGTGGGTTCGATCCCGACCCTGACGCCTGCCTGCTGTATATTTGGAGTTTGCGTGTCTCTTTCCCCGTGGTCGCGTGTATTTTTCTCAGGTTTTTCCCTCCTCACTTAGAATCGGCGTCCGTTTGGAGTATTTGGCCACTGTAAATGTCCACGTGATAATATCATTTGTGATAGCCAGGTCGTTTCTGAAAAAAATGACTCCGTAGCCTTAGTGGGACCTTACCTGGTAAACTAAATAGTTCGTCCGTGGTTGCACGAACTGCGGCTCGTCACGCGACTCGTTAGCGGCCCCCGGATCGTTCGGTTATGTGCGCGGAATTCAGAATCTTTATCAGAATCGGAATCTTTATTTCGACTTGGAAGAATCCGATGAGCTGTGTGAAGCTCTCACAGATGTTCCAGTAGCGGCGGCTCGGAAAGTTACGACGACAAGCAATGCAGAAATAGACGGAAGTGCAAAGTGATAGGAAAGTTAAGCAAGCCACCAAATAACAAATATCTGTAATTGTTGGGCGTCTTTCGTCCTGCTTGCTTACAGTTTCCGCGACCCTAGATTCGTGTTCTGCTTTCCCATCGTTGTTGTCCCGTGGAGTTGTCGCCTCTCGCGTAGGATTCCGCGCTTGCTCGGCCCGCGTAGCTCCCCCGACGGGGACCTCGGAGCTGTACCGCGAGTTGTTTGGCGTGATGACGCGAAGAGAAGGAAGATCGCTCCGAGCACGTAGGAGAGAAACATCGGACTTCACGCCGAACTAAAAACCCGGAACAACCCGAACACGCGTCCAGAGCTGTCTTTCATTGTCTCTCCTTGTAAAAAGCAACTTTGTGATACAATTAAATTTAGCCGCTGCGTAAATATGAGTCGAGCGCTTGCCCGGATGGAACAGCGTTTCGAACGCTGACGTTTTTGGCATAACGGCGTTATTGAGAAAGTCGTACGTTAATGCACACGCACGCGCGTACACATGCGTGTGTGTGTGCGCGTGTAGCACGGCGGTTGGCGTTCATTGATTTTTACCGCAGCTCCAATCCCTCGTGGAAGCAGTAACTCAGGTGGTGTGGAGCGGGCGCAAAAACCGGACGTGATGTCACGTAAATCATACACATTTTTACATGGAAACCTTGCCCAGTGGCTGCAGTGGGGCGGCTCTGCATGTGATTTTTAAGCGACGGATGGGGAGGTGCGAGGTGAGGTGGGGGGGGATCGGGCTGGTAGTGGTGGGAGGGGAAGAGAAAAAAAAGTTCAAGCTGCTGGCCGTTACTTCCGCCGGTGTAATTTAAGCGCCCGTCGCTGGATTTACGCGGAGGGGAAAAAAAAATGATAATGTGGCCGTAAATAATTTGACCGTTTTTTGCCGCAAGAAATTCCTGATTCGGATAAAATATTCTGGCACGGGCCAGCATGGACACAGGCTATTAGGTGTTCACTCACAAAGCGGTGCCAAATGTGGAGGGAGGCCTGCCCCCCACGCAGTTCTGCCCCTGAGCGTACTTCCCACTGGCCTCAGGCCCTGGATTGAGTCTTTGAGCTGCAGTGAAGCAACGATTATGCCTATTTGAAGTACTAATGTCTCATATGGCTGTTGTTCACAAATGGGGTGAAGGTCGTGGGTTCGATCGCAATCATAGCGCCTCCTATATTTGGAGTTTGCACGATCCCCCCGTGGTCCAGGTCCTCAGGTTTTTCCCTCCACAGTTTGTCTGCGATTTAAATTTCCAGTTGATGAGCCACTTCGTTGCGCTACCACTTGTGATAGCCAAGTCGCTTTCGAAAAAGAGCTACGTAGCTCAGTGGGCCTTGCCGTGTAAAATAAACTAAAATGTTTAGTTGAGTTTGAAGACTTCTCCACGAAGAAAGCGGTGAGCAAAGGGAAAATGTGAAATGCTCACCGGCTCGTGGGCAGATGTGTGCCGGGGTGGATCGGGAAGATCGATGGCTTGTGTGGCAAGGCCTTCATCCAGCAGTGGATTGATAATGGCTGATTCATGATGATGATGATGAAATGTTTAACAACTGCATTGGTCAGTGGTGCCGTTGCTGGTTCAGAACGGAGGTAGGGTCTGACTCGTACTTGGGAGATGGCGCTTGACTGACATCTCGGAGGTCGCTGTGCACCCTGGGACACTTAAGAAAGTTGCCCAGTTTAGGGTTCTTCTCCAAGCAGACGTGGACTCCTCAGAGAAGCCCTTTACGAAAGCAATGATCTACACGAGTGGTCTTGACTCATTTTCAGAGGCGGGGGGGGGGGGGGGGGGTGGTGGCACTTTCGCCGATAAGGGCCGCCACACATTTGAAACCATTGAGGGTTTGGCAGCAGCACAATGACGACGATGATGATGGGGGGTGTTGTCACCATGTTGTGTTTTGTCGGGGGGGGAGGGGGGGGTGCCGCACGTCAGGGGCCGCACTAAAGGCCACCAGAGGCCGCCAGCGTCCCCGCGGGCCTTGCAATGAAGGACACTGATCTACGCATGAGCTAAGACCGATTCCTCACGATAGCTTCACTTGCAATTGCTTGTTTGTTTACAGATTAGTTACTACAGGCACCCAAAATCTGTCCCAATGCTTATGGTTTTCCGTAGCTTAGTTTTTGTCGCTTGTGCTGTGGATCAATCTGCTGGGGCTGTTCTGCGCAAGCCGATTTGTGCTCTGCGTGGAATGTAATAATTCAGTTTTGACTTAACGTCGAGTTAAGTTTGCGATATTTTCTAATCGTCCGTGACGCCGGCGTTTACATTTCGTTACTTTGCCGTTCCTTTGTGTGTTTTTTTTTTTTTACTTGCTTCATTCTGCCAACCAAGGTCACTCGTGCAAACGAGACTTCACCTTCCGGGCCTCTTGAGTTCTCACCTGGCTAAACGAAAAGTAAAATTAAAAGCAGAAATGTCAAAATAGAAGCTTGGGACCGGCATCACGGGAAACGCAGGTTGCTCGCAACCTTGACGCGCCTTTCTGCAATTCAGCCTCGGCTAACACCTGCGCAGCCTCGATCCTTTTCTTTCGCGCATAACCTTGCTCCTTCTCTGCCTTCCACTTTAGCGAGAGGACGCGGATTTACGCTCCCCTCCTGCGCTTTGGTGCAGCCGAACTTTCGTAAATTGTTCTTTTCCCTCTGTACGCACGTATGTATGTTGGACTTCTTTCACACCGTACGTAATCCACCCTCCCCCTTGCCACCCTCCCACCGTACTCCACAAACCAAAAAAGGATTGCAGAATTTCCTCGTATTTTACGATGCCGCCACCGCCGGCGCGATCGGGTTGTAGTTTTTTGTTCGTCGGGAGGATCGTTGGAAATCCTACGGCGTTGACCGTGAACCAAGACGCGGGGGACGATGTGATTGTGATAATGGGGCCTCGTCTTGCCGTGCTGTAAATTAGAGGGCCCAGGGCGAGAAGGGGCAGGCGGTGGGTAGAAAGAGCTTCCCTCGTCCCCCACTCAACCCGGTGTCAATTTACAAAACTAAAATAAAACTTCGTCAGAGAAATTACATGGATTTTTTAAAATAAAACCACTTCAGCTCCCTCTTATCTGGAAAGTTTAAGTTGACTTTGTAAACCTTGTGCCGGGTGGTTTCGTGCGACCAAGGAATAGCTTGAGCCACATCCCCTAATTTTTTGTCCGTTGGTGGCACCGTCTGCCATGGGAGTCTTCCTTTCTTCTGGGTCCTCCAGGTGTTCCCTCCACATTTTAGAAACGCGCGTTTAGAGTGTTTGGCTGCTGTACATTTCCACGTGATAAGCCGCTTCGTTGAGCTATCATTTGTGGCCAGGTCTCTTCCGATATAAAAGAGCTATGCAGCTCGGTGGGCCTGAACCTGGTGAAATAAAAAAAAATAGTTTGGTTTCGTTTACTCGTTGTCGAGCTGCGCGTTCGGGCACCAACTAGTCTCACGGCGTGCGATGGCGTTGCGTTGGCGTGCGTTGCCGGACAGGCGTCCGTCTGGACCGAGTGCGGGGCGGCCGGCAGAAGTACAAGCGCAGGATCGACGCGGAGAACAGCCCGTTCCTTGGGCCCCAGCTGGACCAGCCTGCCAAGAAACCACGTGAGCGAGCGAGTGAGAGGAGGCCGCAGCACCGTTCACCACGCCCGCGGCCCCCCATGCGCCGTGCCGGTTCTCTTCGTGGCCGCTCGCACCCCCCCCCCCCCCACCCCATTGCCGCCCCACCACGGTCTGGCTCGAGTGATGACATTCGCCTTTTTGCGATTCCTCTCCCGCCAGTGAACAAGATCATCTCGCACCTGCTGGTGGCCGAGCCCGAGAAGATGTTTGCGATGCCCGACCCGGCCGTTCCCGAGGGAGAGGTGAAGGCCCTCACGACGCTGTGCGACCTCGCCGACCGCGAGCTCGTCGTCATCATCGGCTGGGCCAAACACGTCCCGGGTGAGAGAGATTTTAGGGTTTTTTGGTTTGTTTCTCCATCCTTTCCTTCCTCTCACGGTTTGATGCAGTTGAGAAAAAGTTGAGAAAAATCCCCAAAAGGCCCCCCACCCCCGAACGGCGGCGTTGAAGGTTTGTCAGGAGCTGTTGATAGTGAGGTCGTCCCGTGAAATTGGCCACTTGGCTGGCTGGCCAGGCTGAGGGAGCGACGCGCGAGGCGTGGCGGAACTCGCACGCCACCGCCCCCCGCCAGGGGTGGTGGGGGGTGACGGCGGGGGGGTGGGTGTGGTTGGGGGGTGGGTGGGAGATGGGGGGGGGGGGCTGTCGCTCCGCCGCCGCTGAGGTGTCGGCGGATCGATCTGCGCGGCGCCGTGAATGGAGATTTGTATCTGGTAATTAATGCATTCGGAACAGCCCCGTTCTATTAATCAGCACGATAAGATAAATTGGACACACCGCCGCCACCGCCGCCGCCGGGAGCGAGCTGTGTGCGCCCGATAGCCATCACCCTGAGGCACCCACCCCCCCCCCCCACTACCCACTCTGCTCCTCGCCCTGGGTCCCCGCCTGATTATTGCGTTTAATTAGTGTAACAAGTGGGACGGTCCTGGCGCGCGCGCGCACACAAACACACACACACACACACACACGCGCGCAGAGGTCTGCCATTGTTTGGCAGCCTTCTGCCTTCTCGTGTTAACGTGGCCGCGATGTCATTGGCGCGGAAGAGGAGAGATCCGTTTGTAAGATAGAGGGGTAAAGGTGCAGCCCTGCAAGTCGTTGTCCACGCCCACTAATGATGGAAGGACCTCCACCGGAGGAAGCAATACATAGATGGCATTTTGGCCTCCTCTTCCGTGCTGGCCAGAAATCTTAAGGGCAGGGTGGAGTTTGAGATTCGAGCACGTTGCTTCGACTGGCGCTACGCCGGGAGATTGAATGAAACCAGCGAAATAGACGATTCACCGTCGCAGAGGTCTGCTCACGGCCAGATTCAGCGTCGCCCTAAGAGGCGCTCGCTCACCGCACCGGTTGGTTATAGACGGGAGATGCTGTGTGCAGCCGCAGCGGTTACCGCGTTTGCCGATTTTTCTGGGGGCTCGTTTCTTCCAGACCAGCTTAAGCCAGCCTGGTTCACGCTGCCGATGCTTTCACCACAACGAGTGCGCTCGCACCGTCCCCTTCACATTGGACGCTAAAGTTCCCGCGACGTTCTCCCGTGCCGGCGTCGCGATCCCGATCATCTGATGAATGGCCCGCAGATCACTGTTCGTTTGGAGGCAACCATCACGCCCTGCCGGGCCGAGTGCCGCTCCATGCATTGCGCCGCACAGGGACAGCTGCCACCGGGGGTGCCCCTCCTAGCAGGGCGCCTTGAGGCGTAGCGCATGCGAACATTAAGGATGACGACGGCGATGATGATGAAACTAGATTAATTTACATCACGCAGTGCAAACAACCAATCTAAAACTACTTCACTGGTTATCCTGAGAGTCGCTTTCATTCGTGACGGTGCTGAACGTAGCGGCCTCTAGTGACCGCAGGGGGCGGTGACGTGTGAACGCGTACGTTTGTATGTTGAACTTCTTTCGCACCGTACATCGCCAACCGTGCTAATCGGAGGTGCGGTAAATTCTAGCGCAACGAAGTGGTTCGTGTTGAAATTCATAGCAGCAGCCAAATTCTGTGAACGCACGTTGATTCTAAAATGTGGAGGGGAAATACTGGAGGATCCAAATATACAGCAGGCATCAAGGTCGAGATCGAACCGACGACCTCCTGCAAACGAGGCGAGGGAGTTAACACCCTGCTGACTCCGTGCCCCTCCTGGACATCTGTGAAGAAGAGCTTCACGGCTCATCGGATTTCTCCCGGGACTGAATACGGATTCCGATTGCGAACGCCGCGTTGACACGCATCGCCCGCCACGCCACCCCGTGGCCCCCTTTTGTCACCAGGCTTCTCGGTGCTCTCGCTGGGCGACCAGATGTCGCTGCTGCAGAGCGCGTGGATGGAGGTGCTGCTGCTGGGCGTCGTGTTCCGCTCGCTGCCGTGCGACGACGAGCTCGTGTGGGCGGACGACTACGTGATGGACGAGGAGTCGTCGCGCGTCGCCGGCCTCCTCGACCTCAACTCCACCATCCTGCAGCTCGTGCGCAAGTACAAGAGCCTGGCGCTCGACCGCGAGGAGTTCGTCACGCTCAAGGCTATCGCGCTCGCCAACTCGGGTACGCGCCGCCACCGTCACCGCCACCGCCCAGGATCCCAATCACAGACTGCACGCCAGTAGCTGGTCACAGTTGGTTCCAGTATTCAAGTACTTTGATACTGCTAATCCTGCATAATGCACGGGCATAATGACTTTAAACCCCTCGCCAAACCCTACGCATTTCACAAGTAGTACTAATCGCATATCTGCATTTCCCATAAATATGCTAAATTCCTCTTGATATGCAAATTATATTGTCAAGACGCTCTTTGCCCCTCCATCCCAGCATAAATAGTCGCTCCAAGCCTAGAGCGTGCCATTCAGACTCTGTCTACTTGACAGACCTGTTCTCCACCTGAAGACGGCTGCTTGCGTTGTGGCCGAAACGTCGTGAGAAATATTTTATTATGTTTTATTTTTATTATTTTATTACTTCCCTTCTACGTGACTTTACTGAAAGAACCAAGAAGATGTTCAAGTACTTTGTCGATCGCAGGCTGCATGCCAATGCCCAGCCACTGTTGGTTCCGGTACTCAAGTGCTTGTGAGTTTCGATTTAAAGCTTTAGTGACTGCAGGGATTCATCTTCTTGGTTCTTTCGGTGAAGTCACGTAGAAGGGAAATAATAAAATGATAAAAATTAAACATAATAAAATAATTCTCACGACGTTTCGGCCACAACGCAGACAGCCGTCCTCAGGTGAAGAACAGGTCTGTCGGAAGACTGCAACTTGTGAGTTGCAGTCTTCACGCCACGAGAGCTATGCACTTTTAAACTTAGATTGAAAACTAATTTCTTTAGAGCTACTTTTTGTGTTTAGTTTGTTGTCCTTCCCACGCGCATCCGATTAGCACTGCTGGCTACGTATGGTGCGAAGGAGGTTTGACGAACGTACGTACAATAGCAACTGCAATTAGTTCCGGCGCTAAAGTGCTAATGCCGGTCGCAGTTGCGGCTACGATCAGTTCTCCAGTTCTAACCTCATCGGCGTGGATTTGGTGAAGGTGGCGCAAGTGACGCACGCAGTTACACCCCATTAAAGTTGACACATGGATTTTAATCAAGGCTGCAGAGACCTCGAGTCTAAACTGCCGTTAATCACAATCGTAACCCCAAATGCCACTCTCACCCTAATTCCAGTCCTAGTTCAAGCTTGGCCTCGGTCGTTTGGTTACCCAAACGACACGTGCCCTTGAATGTCGACTCGTGTCTACCCCTTCGTGTCCGAGCCGTCGACCGGCGGGCACAGCGGTTAACGCACCGCGGCCACGAACCCGTCGACCCCGGTGCGGTTCCCTGCCACCGCTAACATCGGTGACGAGTTGGCGCCTGATAACCAGGCCCCCCCCCTCCCCGCCCCGCTCATCAAATCTGCACCGACCAGCGTGGCAGATGATGGTCGGACAACCCCCCCAAGCCTGACACGGCGATTCCAACAGCTGTGGTTTGCACCACGGCTGTTAGAATCGCTCTGGATTGCAACCGTCGGCTTGGCACCAATACCACCACCACCACCACGGCTGACGCGACTGTGTCTCGTCCTTGCTCGCAGCCCACGTGTGCCCCCAGCTGCGAGCGTGTGTGCGTGCGCCCGCCCCCCCCCGCCCACGGCCTCCACTAGCAACGTCAGCGCGTCGATGAGAGGCATTGGGCGGCACACCCTTGATTTTTGTGTTTGGTTTGTTGTCCTTCCACCGCACCTCCGATTTTAGTACAGTTGGCTACGTACGAAAAAAGCGAAACATGAAAATAAAAGAAACAAAGATCTCCAAAATCCTGATTAAACACAAGATCCAGGTCCGATTCAACACAGTACATAAAATCCGTGATCTGGTCCCGTCTGTAAAAGATGTGGTTCCAGACATACAGTACCCTGGCGTCTACAAACTAAGTTTCCTCTGTGGTAGCAGTTACATTGGAGAAACCAAACGACATGTCTCGGACCGCATCCGTGAACATAAGGCAGACCTGAAACACGGTAGGACAAACACCTCAGCCGTGGCAGATCACTGTTACAATTCAGTGGGCTCACATGACATTGACTTCTCCAAGACAGAGGTTCTCTGCAAGCCATCTGGCTATCATGAGAGATTCGTTCATGAGGCGATCCACATATACAAACACAGAGACAATTTCAACCGAGAAGATGGATTCTGGCTTAGCAATCATTGGAAGGACGTAATAAACCATTTCGGATCTTAACTGATTGTGTTCACGTTTACGGTGACTTTCAGACCACGTTCCACTCACTGGCATGGTGCAGTGTGCAGAGTAATGTATGGTGTCGTAATTGTACAGTAAACATATAGCAGTATGATACACATTAGGGTGGGTAGAATAATACATAGTGTTATATTAAAATGGATAAGGCAGCAACTGCAGCAGCAGCAGCAGCAAGTGCAGCAGCAGCAGCAAGTGCAGCAGCAGCAGCAAGTGCAGCAGCAGCAGCAACTGCAGCAGCAGCAACTGCAGCAGCAGCAAAAACTGCAGCAGCAGCAGCAACTGCTGCAGCAGCAGTAACTGCAGCTCCCTTTGATGCTGTTAATCCTGCATAATGCACATGCATATGCAGTACTAATCACATTCCTGCATTTCCCATAAATATGCTAAATTCCTTCTGATATGCAAATTCATTTGTCAATGCGCCCAGCTTATATATATGCTCCAAGCTCGTGTGCTGTTTCATTCAGACTCTGTCGCCTCGACGGACCTGGTTTTCACCTGAGGACGGCTGCTTGCGTTGTGGCCGAAACGTCGTGAGAATTGTTTTATTATGTTTTATTTTTATTATTTTATTACTTCCCTTCTACGTGACTTTACCGAAAGAACCAAGAAGAAGAGGAAAGATCTCCCCGTTTAGCCTGAACAGACTGTTGGGGCAAGTGCTGTTGGCGATCACCAGTTCAACAAACATATACACATACAGTGACGCACTCGCGCGCGTGAACACACGCACGCATCAGCAGCAGCAGCAGCAGAGGGCTTCTCGTCTTCCCTGCCACTGAGCTTTCCTGGCCTCCGGCTGCAACGGTCGATGGCGCAGTTTGGCCACTCCACTTGCCAATGCCGCCCCCCCACCCAGTTAGCGCGCAACGGCCCGTGCATGCCCCGCGGTGTGCGTGGAGTGGGTCGGGGGGTGGGACGGTGGTGGGGGTTGGGCAGTGGGCTGTGGGAAGCGTGCGAGGTCGGGGTAGAAAAAAGCGCTTCGGGAGTAAAGAGGGGGGGCGGTGTGTGGGGGGGGGGGGGTTGTTGACGGGAGCTCGTTAATGGGATCTCCCCCAATTTTCCATCGCCCCCCGGGGCGGACACCGATTTTGCACCGACTGCAGACGACCGTTTAGGAGGCCGCGTAAAACTAACGGTGACAGATGCCGCCCTCGCTCGCAGCCGCCGCCGCCGAATTGGGACCCTAAACGGAAAATCTGTGTGGTGGGCGGGCGGGAGCGGGGGCAATCGCTCTCGCGCGGGAGCTTATTTAGTCGTCTTTTTTTACCGGCTTCATTTTGCCGTTTGCGTCTCCTGCCGGTCACCCCGACGTTTCGAGAACGAGCCGACTGCGTCTCGTCCGCGATCGAGGACCCCCCCCCCCCCCCCGCGCGCTCTCACTTAGGGGTGCGAATTCCCCCGCCGTCGCTCACGGTTTGAGTCGCAGGGACCCCCTCTGGAACTTAGGCGGCGAGTGAGATGGGAGAGAGGAGGAGGAGGAGGGCGGCGGTTGGGGACTCGGGACTTAGAAATCTGTAAAAGCAGCAACAACAACAACAAAAAACCCGCAAGCCAATTTTCCTGCCCGCCCGTCGAGTGGCTGCGGGGCCACTTCCCGGGAGCATTTCCACTCGGCTGGTTAATTCTTGAAGTCGTTTGGTTGGTAGTTAAGTAATTGAATTCAGCGAGCCCTCCTAGATGTGATGGGGAAATGTAATTATGGGCGCCGCGCGCACACGCACGGGCGCACACACGCACTGATTCGAGCACCAGCGAGCGAATTTGTGGCGGCGAGGAGGACTGATGAGGCTGTTAAAGCAGGGGGGGGGGTGGGGGGGGCTTGCTTGGCACCAGGGAGAAAGCAGCTTCATTTTAAAACTCAACCAGCGAAATCCACTTTGGTGCATCTTCCCCGGCCTCTTTAAGAGGGAGACGCGGCGGCGGGAGGGGGGGGAACGCCTGACCGCTCGCCCTCACGTTACATTTACTTACGCGCCTGCAGATGCATTTCTGCGCCTGATTCGGGCAAGACGAGGTCACCGCGCGCCGCCAGGAATCTACCCTCCCAAAACCAGGGGGCAAATCCACAACACGCCGGTGTGTTGTACTAGTGACGAATTGGCACGTTCTGTTTACGTGATAAACCTTACTAGTTGGCCGTGTCGGGTGGTGGCGGGTTTAACGACACAATTATATTTTTACGCGAGCCAACTCAACCGCTTGTGGATATTTACATGGTAATCAACGTACGTCATTATGCAAGCCCATTGTTCTTGTACCTCCTGTCGATTGTGCGAACTTAAACGTTTTATTGGCTCGAGTTGACGCACGAGCTGGCGCTGCCGATGGAGTCGCCGTGCAGAAACGTGCTCGTGTCTCGAATGGGACGGTTCGTTCAACGCCGCCACGCGTTAACGAAGGCAACGGTTCTTAGTTATCACCGGACTCCACCACGTTGCAAACTTCCTCCTTCGGTAAATGATCACGTGGTACATCTGCCATCTAGTGGCAAAATCTGTAATGAAAAAAAACTCAAGTCGGGGGAGGGGGGGCCGCATCGCATTTGCCTCCGCGGTTCTTCCCGTAATCGCACTCACGTAGGTTGCAACGTTACTTGACAATGATTACAACGTTTAGTTTGCAGAGATTTATTGTGCAATAGTTTACATGACACTTGCACTTATTTTGAGTTCCGGGTGGCAGTTCAAGAGTGCGATCTCTCTCTGAGCCTCCCGTGACTTGAGTGTGTGTCGGAAGTTACACGGACGCGCTGCTAATGTAACGAGCCTGTTCGTGATAAATTGAGCACGATTTTCTTTGCTGATGAGACGTGTAACGGTGCACGTCTCTGATAGCTCAACTAAGCGGCTTATCAAGTGGAAGTTTTAGCATCCAAATACTGAAAACGCATGGCATTGATTCTAAATGTGGAGGGAAAATCCGGAAGACCCGGGGAAAAATCCGCACTACTACGGGGCGAGAGACACGCAAACTCCAAATATACAGCAGGCGTCAGGGTCGGGATCGAACCCACGGACCTCCCGTATACCAGGGGAGATGGTTAACATCTCCTAGCCACTGTGATGATGATGAGAGAGAGAGAGACACGCAAACTCCAAATATACAGCAGGTGTCAGGGTCGGGATCGAACCCACGAACCTCCTGTATACCAGGCGAGATAGTTAACATCTCCTAGCCCATCGTGATGATGATAGAGAGAGAGAGACATGCAAACTCCAATTTTACAGCAGGTGTCAGGGTCGGGATCGAACCCACGGACCTCCCGTATACCAGGCGAGATAGTTAACATCTCCTAGCCACCGTGACTCCGAATCGCGACAAGACCATCGCGATTCTCCAGTCGACGCGTTCATTCCGTGTTGCGGCCGCCCCTCCCAACTCCCCGCCCCAACCTCCCCCCTCCCCTTGTCGCGTACCACTACCGCACCCCGCCCCCCCTGCCCGCTAACCCTGTCGTCGCCGCTGGCCCGCCCGTTCGTCGTGCTGCGCGCAGACTCGATGCACATAGAGGACGGCGGGGCGGTGCAACGTCTCCAGGACGGCCTCCACGAGGCCCTGCAGGAGCACGGCGTGAGCCAGCATGCCGACGAGCCGCGCCGCGCCGGCAAGCTGCTCATGACGCTGCCGCTCCTCCGGCAGACGGCGACGCGCGCCGTGCAGTTCTTCTACTCGGTCAAGCTGGAGGGGAAGGTGCCCATGCACAAACTTTTCCTGGAGATGCTCGAGGCCAAGATCTGAATTGGAGGCGCGGCGTTTCCTTCACGAGCTGCCCCGGCGCACGCGTCCGCGACGATGTTCGACCACCCTCCCCACCCCCCCCCACCACCAGCTCCCACCACACCGCCACCCACACCGCACCCCACCTCCCCACTCCGCCCGCCCACCCCACAAAACTGGAGCGATGAGAAGAGAACTTTTGTGGAGGCCACTACCGCGGTGGTGACGATGGTGGTGACGTTGTTGCCGGCAACGTGCCCGCTGTTTCCCTCTACGCCCGCACCCCTCGCCGAACACCGACCCCCCCCCCCTCCATCGACCCCCCCACCACCCCCACCATGTTTTGGGGAGGGGGGGGGGAGCAAAGTCAGGTCGTGCAAGCCGCAGCCGGGAAAGCAAAATGATGTTGTCAGGCTAACGGCGAGATGCTGCCAGCCGCCCTCACCCCCCGCTCTCCGGTGGTGGCGTTGACGATGGGAGGATGAGGAAGAGTGTTGGGTCGGAGCGAGCCGGAACCTCGCCACGATCGACGCTGGCGGCCGAGGCAGTTGCCACGAGGAGTTCGCGGGGAGAGCACCACGCGGCCCACTTCCCACGGCGTCCCTCCCCCACCGCCACCGCCACCCCAGCAAGCGTGGGTTGTCGCCAGCGCTCCTCTCCTCGCTCGCTCCGCGTGGCGGGTACATTTTATTAATTGGAATGCGTCGTGGGGGTGGCGCTGGGTGGGTGAGGGGGAGCAGGAGGGGTTTGGGGGGGGGGGGCCCAATTGGCGTGGTGATCGCGCGCGTGCCCATAGCCTGATTTTGGCTGCTTCCGCACGGTGTACACGGAGCCCGGGGAGGGGGGGGGGGGACCCCAAGGGGTCCTCGACGACTCTGGTCGCAAAAAAAGACTTTTACTCACAAATGCAATTCGTGTCGCCTAATGTTCGTCTGAACGTCCGTGTTGAAGACGAGGGGGGGAGGGGGTGGAGGTGCGGGTAGCGTGGTCGTACACTAGAGGTGGAGGAGTGAACCATTTTCGTTCCCGCGGGGCCCCCGAATTGGACTCGGATACCGCCAGCAGCGAGCCCGCGCGGCAGTCTCCCCCCCCGGCGCTGTCCGCAAGTAACGCCGAATGTCACCGCGGGCGCTCGGCCACCGCCTTTCGGCGCCCGGGGTGAGAAACGTTGCCCTCCGGCGCCCGGATTAGCGCGGCGGTCCAAGGCCTGCTCGCGGTCGCGGATAAGTGTCGTTCGCTGGGGGGGGGGGGGGGGGGGGTCGGTTCGTGAAGGGTGGAGGCACCGGGACGCGGGCCAAAGGGTAATTGGTTTTGTCTTCCACTGCCTACGCGCCACGCGCACGGCAACGACAACAACGCTACTAAGTGGCGGTCACCACGGCGCTTGTGCCAGGCTGTGTGCATTTTAGGGCCAAGTGAAGTGTCGCAACGTCTCGCCCCTGGGGGGGGGAAGGTCAGGCTCCCGCACCGACGGTTGGTTGCGTACGGCGCGAAAGGTGTTCGGCGTACAGCCTGCGGCTCTGCAGAGAGATCCTCTGCGTAATAATTATCGCGAGCAATACAACGTGACCTTTTTTTTTCTCTTCCTCCTCCTCTGGCGCTCCGACTAGAACTTTGAGACGCCTTCCCCCCCCCCCCCCCCCCCCCCCAAAAGCGGCCGCCGTGAGTCTTGTTCTGACGTTCTGTTCGTGAAGCCCTACCCTGGAGCGTGCCATCGGCGTCAAATGTCGCTTCGCTCTCCGTTTTCGCCTCTCGTTCCGTCCTCGTCCTCGTCTCTTGCAAAGAGTTGCGTCTCCGTGATGCCCAAGTAGAAAGGGGGGGGCGGTGCGCACGCTGCGGGCCGTGCGGCGTGTCGTCCGTTGTCGTCCGTTGTGCTTCCGCGTCTGCGCTCCCCCCGCCGCCTTTTTGCCAAAAGCCGCGCTCGCGCCAGGCTGGGTTCAGTACGGTCAAATAACCGGCACGAGCCGCACGGCGTGGAACCCGTCTCGCCCGCAGTGCGCTCACCGTTGCGCTAGCGCTCGCCCGCAAGCCTGCGACACGCGCGCACACACCGTTCCCTTGGAAAAATACTGACCTGTACATTCGTGATGTGGCGTCGCTGAAATTGCCCCGGCAACTCGAGGCGCATTATATCACTCCTCATCTCAAACATTCGAAGGGAATCCCACTCCCCCCTCCTCGCCCCCCCCCCCCGCCGCCTCCTCCTCTCCCCAGCCCTTGCTGGAGCTCTGCTCCTCCTGTGCCCAGCTCTCCGCGTCCCTCGCTTTCGCTTGACCGACGCACGCGGACAGCTCGGTCGTTGTGGCAGCAAAGGACCCAGGAGTTGCCGGCGGGGGGTAGAGGAGGAGGGGGGTGGTGTAGTGAATGAGTGGCCGAGCGGCGGTGCAGTGCTTAGCGCCCTGCGTTCTCAACCAACCCCCGGCGACCCCCCGGAGTTCGATTCCCGGCCACAGCGATATCCAAACCGGTCTTGGGGCCCCCCAATCTCCTCCGCACCCCACTCTCCTCCACCAAGCCGCACCGGTTCGGCGGGACGGTGAAGCAACGATTAAAACAACCTCCCGCCGCCGAGCAGCGAGTTGACACAAAGGGCTGTAATTATTAGAATACCTTTATTGCAACGGTGATTTCGAGACTTGACTTTTAGGGGGCCCGCCCTTTACAGGCCGTCCCTCCCCCCACGAGGTAAATTGGTCGGCCGATTTTGCTCGCTGCTGTGAGCGTGCGTGCGCCGGAAAGCGCCAAGCGCTAGCAGTTTAGCGCAGGAGCACTACAAGCCCGGCGACTCGCGTTCGATTCCCGCTCGAGGCCGACACCATTGACGGTTATCTAAACTCTGTTCTGGGCCTCCTCTAGGTCGACTCGGCCTTAAACGAGTACTGGTGCGGTGTGTAAAACATCGCTGCTGGGGAGACAAAGGCGGCCGGGCGTGGTGCTGGCCACCCACCCCCCCTCGTGTGCCGTGCCAGCCTTCATAGGTGCTCGCGAACAGCACTTGCCCCAAAAGTGTGTTAAGGCTACGCGGGGTACTTTGTCTAACGAGGGGTCCCGTGGCGCGCGTCATCCCAATGTCCTGGCAATGAGTGCCACCACCTCCGTCCTCCGTGCTTGATGAGTATGGTTGCCCAGCCATGAAACACGCACTATAAATGTTCTAAGTGTTTTCGTTTTGTGTTTTTAGCAATCGTTTATATTATACTGAGCCATGCATATAAAAAAAAAACTATGGCATTCAATAACTTGACTTCTCCAAATATGTAAAATAAAAAAAATAATCATGTTAAAATAAGGAAAAGATTTAAAGCCAAACGGAAACCGGGAAAGGTATGTTTAAACGACAAAGGACGTTTCTGTGTAAAATGAAGTGTTAATTATATCGACGTACGCGTGTGTACTGCGTGTGTATACGTGCCTGCGAGCGCGTGTGTACTGCATACATACGCGCCTGCGTGCGCGTGTGTACTGCATACACACACACGCGTGCGCACGCACGCACGTACACGCACGCGCACACGTGTACTCGTGCGTGTACGGAGCAGAACCGTGCGTCTGCCGGCACGCGTACTCTCGCTTTTATCCGCCGCTGTGCTCGCGGCGGCCGTCGTGACGTCTGGGCGCCAGTGCTGGCTGACCGATCCCCGCCGTTGGCCCCGAAACAAAACGCCCCCAACGAAAATTGAAAAATGCCAGGAGAGCGTTTCAGAGGCCGGTCGGCAAAACCACCGCGTTGTGGACGGAGAAACTTGGCTCCAGTGTCAGGAATCCGTCGGCGGGAATGGCGCCTGCCGAGCGGAAATATTCCCGTTGGAACCGTGCGCTGCTGGGCAGGGGCAGCTGCCACTGGGGGAGGGGTGGTCTCCTTGGCCAGGCTACAGAAGGGCATTGGAACGGTTGAGTTGAGGTGTGATTGTGAGGCGCTTGCTGAGAGAGGCATGTTTGAGACGCCCCCGCAAGTTCAAATCCTTCTAATGGATTCCATCCGCCGTGTGAGCGATCGGCGCTGTTGGGTATGGGGAGAGCCCGATTCGGCTAAATGCGTCGGCGTGTGGGCACGATCAGTTGTCGTCTCAGTTCCAAAGTAACGCCCCGCGTAAAACCCGCGTCGGAGATGACTCGTGCGGACGATTGGATGCTTCCCTACCGGCCCCCACTAACCCCCTCCGTGAGCGGCCGTACCCGACCCAGACCCATCCTCTGCGCTCGTCCGCGAGCATTCCCCTCTCCCCGCGGCAGTCGCCGCCACGACGCCGGAGAATTCGTCGCGTTCGGAAAGGGCCCAGAATGCTCGCTGCAACAAGTTGGCTATTTTTGCGTGGCTGGGCCCAAATCCTCCCTGGGCATTGAAGGAGAATTTTGTTTTTTTCTTCTGGCAGAAGTGGGGCAGCGTCTACACGAGAAGGTTATCGTTTTAAATGGCACTACTGTACAAATGAAAATAAATATAATGAATACGAGTAATGTAATGAAATAGTGATAATATAATACATTTTTACGGACGACTTTTTATTTGCAGTGTGGTTGGAAGTTCACTGCAGTGTGATATAAGAGTATATATATATACACTGTATATTGTAGAAGAGTCAATCATTGGTTCTCTTGGTACACGGGGGCCCTGTTTATCAGAAATATTGTTGGGTTAGGAATCTCTCCGCAGATTCACAGAAGCGATGGAACGCTGCAGTCTTGTCTTCATTTTGCCGCGTTTGAACACCGGGGCAGACACTCGCACAAACACCACGCACACACACACAGACAGGGTGATAACCCCAGGTCACGCATATTCCACTTACAAACTGCACCCCAGCTGGAGGGAGAGAGAGAGACACCCACACACCACGCATGCTCCTGGAGGGGTGAACGGCAGGCTCGTGCCACCGATTCGTCAGTTAAAATCCACGTCTTGCCACGCGCGATGCAACTTCCGTGGATCCGTGCTTGTGGAACTGCGCAGCCCGAGAATCGGCGGGTTATACAAATTGTACGTCGTGAAGAGTGCTCGGGGTGGGGGGGGGGTGGTGACGTTTCTGTTCGCGGGGTGAAAAAGGCCCCGTGCGATTGAGGCAATACAGGAGAGACTAAAACAACAACCGTTGAGCGGTGGGAACTCGGGCGGTGAAAACGGGACGAGAGGAACGATCCGTCGTCTTTAACGGACTCGCGGCCTGTCGCTCATCGTGACGATGAACTCGCCGCGGGAGGTGGACGGAGCGCTGCGTGTCGAGCGGGGGGTGGCTCAACGTCCCGGAGCCGAAAATAAACCGTGTCGTGTTCTGTTACCGAATGAATTTGGTGCACCCCGTCCGCCAAGATCTTCAAGCCGGAACGAATGGTCGGCGTTGCGGCAAAGTCCAGTGGCCCGGTCGCCTCCAGAGGTGCTCCTGGAGCAAGAGAGCGCGGGATGGGGGGTGGTGGCAGCCTGTAAATGTAGATGTGGGGGGGCCTAGTGGGTACAAGCAGTGGCTTAGCGAGGTTGGCATGGGCCCAAGTGCAAGGGATAAAATGACGCTGCCCCCCCACTCCATCCACCGTCCCCCCCCCCGCCCCCCCTTGTCACCTCGGTGCGGTTGAAGCCGCCTGCTCGATAGCTGTGCCACCGACCGAGTCCAAGGCTGGGCGGTTGGTGGTGGTGGTGGCGGGGGGGGGCAGTTGTGATGCCGGTGATCGAATGCTCATCTGTGATTGGTGGGAACGCGTGCTGCCCTCCCTGTACCGCGAGAGAATCACGAGAGTGGGCCCCCCCCCCCCCACCTTGCTGCGTCGTTCGTTTGCGTGCACGTGACAGGCGTGCAACGTGCTGCTTAGTAGATACGCTATAAAAAACACAATAATATAATGAATGAATTATACACCCAGGGATAACGTCTACCTTCGAAGGTTAACAATTTTGCAATAATACGTGTTTTCCAGGTTATATGTGCTGTGTTGGTTTGTTTACACTGTACACTGTTTTATTTATGATGTACATAACGCATATATATATTGAACTATAGTCTATTGCCCAACGCTTGCGACGGCACGCGCGCTCGCCGGCCCGTCCCGAAGTGTCACCAAGGCGAGGAGAAGCGTTTCATGTCGTGCCGGAGTTTGTGGGCGCTTTCGTGCGCCGGGAAATTTGTTTGACAACGCGGCCTCGCAGCAGCCACGCCTTGGGGGGGGTGGGGGGTGGGGGTCTCATCGTGGGCACTTGTGGTGTCCGTCGAATCGATTGGTCCCTCCGGCGGATTTGTCTGCTGCACGAGTGGCACGCTCCCGTGATGGTCAGAGTGGCGGCGGGCGCTTGGCGGACGATGTCGCCACGCCGGTGGCTTTCGCCCAGCTTGGCGCTAATAATTGCGAGGCATTTTCAAGTTCGCACCGTGACGCCGAATCGCTCACTGTGCCCGCTGCTGTAGTGCGAAATCAAACTGAAGCAGACGGGGGGTGGGGTGTGTGTGGGGGGGGGCGTATATTTGATTGACACACCCGGCAGTATTAAACAGGGGTGGCCGCCTGGGCTTGAACCGCGAAACCTCCGCCGCAACACCATGGCAGATTGATTAATTCCACGAGCTCTCACCCGTTCAACACACAGGCGCCCCCAACTCCTTGAAGGCGCTTGCCGATATTTGCGCCGGGTTATTTAAACAATATAGCGTACGCCTCTTTAAGCACAAGACAGCCTAACGGTATGCATAAGAACAAACCAGTTTGTATATATCCAGACACACACACAAAAAACCGTAGCACGGCTTGGCGTGACGGGAATGAGAGCCCCCCCCCCCGCCTTTTGGAACAGGCTTGAAAGGATCCTAGTGCGTGTTCCATCCTCGCAGGCGGTGACATCAACGCTTCAGTGACGCGAGCCACGTGTGTGGGCCAGCGCGATGATCTATCCGCACGCGTTCAAAGCGGGAGAACGTTTTAGGGGATTTGTTTGGTTTTACACGCAGGAGGTTTGACGGGTGAAATAAATTGCACGCATTTGCCGTCGCAGACCAAACACCCAACTCCTTCCTGTTGAGCCATTGCCGTGCCGGTGCGATCATGCCCAGGTGTGCAGGTCCCTCGAAAAATCGGGCGGCTTGGTCACAGCCTCTGCAACTGCTTTGTCCACATCGGAGCGAGCAGTTGCGGTTCACAGAGGAAAACGGAACGGCGTGTTCAGGATCGTTGGCGACCAATCGGATGAACCACGTGAACGCGCGCAGAGCCTCTCTTCTCCGCGGCACGAGCGACTGTTTTCGTGCGATTGCTCGCAACGGGTCGCGGAGACCGTCCGCGCGACCGATGTGTTGGGGGGGGGGCGAGGAGGGGTGAGATCCGGCTTGGCTCAAGGGCTCGGCGACTCTCTGCGCACAGGCCCACGTGGGTGCGAGCCTAAATTTGGATTCCGATCTGGCAACGGTTTAGGCGGGCGTTTGTCTCCGGCCGGCCGGTGCGCCGCGGGAGGTCGTCGTCGGCGGACGTCGCAGCGCCCAGCGTTGGAGAAGCGAGCGCGCGCAAGTTGCGAGCGCCACACCCGGGGGGCATGCACGCGTTACCAACACGTCGATTTGGCGAAGGTGCAGCCCTGCAATTGCCTGCTCGCTCCACTGCTGGCCGAAGGGGGCCTCCTCCTTGAGGAGGAGCTCGGGAGAGCCCCCTCTCAGGAGGAGGGGGGGTATTTGGTCTACTCTTCTGCGGCCGCGCGTTTAGCGCGTGGGAATAAAATGCGTGCGTGGATTCGCGCACGCAGCGACGCCGGCGCGACTTGAACGCGGCCAGCGAGTCGCCCAGAAAGGGCTTCTCATCGTCGCGTCGCTTTGAAATTCACAGGTGATTTCGCACATCACCTCTGCCGGATCTAAATGGGACACTCGGTAAAACGCTCTAAAAATGGGAGTGCGTGTAATTACATCCGCGGCTTCTGCCCACGTGTCGTTTGGCAAGTGCAATAGTCACGTGGTCGCCATAGGAGTTGTTTTTTTTTTTTGTTCAATGGGCATGTGTTTTGTCACGGTTCTCATATCTCAGGTTTAAAAAAGGAGCGGGGTGGGGAGCTCTCCAAAGTCCATCAGCTCAGCCGTACTCACACTGACCGCCCCCCCCTCCCCACACCGAGATTTTACCACGAGCCCAGCCGCCTACGAGCTGCGCGGGTTAAGGTTTCCACGGTGGACATTTTCCACAGTATCAGATTTGACGATGTTGACGGTCATCGTGAGATGTGTTTCCCCATAACTCTGCAGTTGTATTTTGCATTCTGATCTATTGTCTTTGTGTTGTACTGTGGGCCCTACGTCCAGTGTGAATAAAGATTTCTTAACGATTACTTAACTGCGGTTCAATCGACGTAAGCCTGCAATAAGCCTTCTAATTATTGCACCATTACGATCGACACGGCTAATATAGAACATGCTGTCAGTTAACGAACTATTAACTATTTTATTTTACCAGATAAGGCCCATTGAGCTATTTAGCTCTTTTTTTTTAAGCGACCTGGCCACATGATAGCTCAACGAAGTGGCTTTTCACGTGGAAATGTATAGCAGGACCTGGAGAAAAATCCACCCGACCACGGAGAGAGAGAGAGAAACGTGCAAACTCCAAATATACAGCCGGCATCAGGGTCGCGATCAAGCCCACGACTTCCTGTATATCAGGCGAGGGAGTTAACATATCCTTACCACCTTGGCGCCCCAGTTGCATCGGGTAGGACTTGGGTTTGGCTGGCTCGTGTTCATCATCCCTCGACACAAGGTGTCCCTTATCTCCTGTTCCCATCTTAAGACCGTTTCACATTTTGTTTAATTTTCACATTCTGGAATCACCACCGTGGTGTACGAGAATGCACGTTGACTTAACGAGAGTTGTGGCTTTTTTTTGTTGTAAAATAAACTGTATCGACATGGTAATGCGAGGTAGTTTGGTAGCTTCACTGTGGCAAGTGGAAGACATCAGCGCTGGAGCGGTGAGTGTTGCAAGACACAACAGTTGGGTGGCCAAAAAATATATATTTGAGATTTAAACGTGCAACCTACAACACTGGTTTAACGGAAGATGCAATCCAGAAAGAGAAAAAAAAAGCGTACGTAAATATCCACGTAGGCACATCGCTAAGTCTGCCAGCAAACGGCTGGCTGTGTTGATGAGTGGGAAAGACGCCCTTGATGAGTTATGTGGTACTCGCCTCTGCGAGCTTTCCACAGGATCCACTCCGAGCCAAAATCTAAAATAAAATAACTGCACTGGCCTCGTTTGCGAGCTGGAGTATAATCACTCTGAAAGTAAACTCTTAAATGTGACATGTAGACCTCGCTGAATGCTTGAGAGACGAGCATTTATATCTACAATAATCTGATTTTTTTTACAAAACCGTAGCGAATGTGGTGAACGGTTTTTAAAATGCCCCCCCCCCCCTTGTTCCAGTTGAATTGTCTCTTCCCAGTTGACCAGTTTACCCTTTCTCGTCTGTCTGTAGTGACTACCCCCTGCTGCCCCAGTGTTCCACGCTGTTATTACATGTACCGGTGTGTTAACGTTGTTAAAATTGGTCGTTAACTCGCTATACGAAAACAAAAATACACGCACGCGCACACACGCGCACGTACGTATACCGACACATACACACGCCTAATACACGCATTATACATCTCTCTATATATATAACCGTGTGATTATGTAAACAGGGACGACGCATCTACTATTACCGCGAGCGCGTGGTGTTCCTAAGTCGACCGAGCCCAAGCGCGTTCGCATAAATCTTGTTGTGGTTCCTCCGGTTTGTGCGTTAAAGCGCTCTGTGTGTTCGGGAGGTCGCGATCGGTCGAGGAAGAACCATGCGCGAGTGGGCCCCGTGAATCATTGCAGTCGCTTCAAAGTAGTCGGCTGGGGCAGTTGGGGGGGGGGGGGGCACGAGTCAAAAGTGCTGAGGGGCCCAGCTTTAGGGCAGCGATGTTTGCTGGGTTGATGGGGGGGGGCTCAGGCTGTCAGGGTGGTTTTAGGGGTGGTGGTGGGGTCCTAAGTGTGTTTAATGCTGGGTTGCGTGTCTTCACGGGTGCAGGGCCAGCGCTGTGTGGGAACCTGTGTTCGACTTTTTGTCGGCATGTCAGCGTTTTTGAGTCGGAGTCCGAAGACTTGTGGAAATTTCGGTCGAAGTCGTTGGTGGGGGGGGGGGGAGGGGGTTTGTGTGGATTTGTCCTTTTGGCCTTTCGAATGAAGCATTCGGACTGCGTTGAATGCACAGATCTCAAAATATTTGACTGTAATTCCACCCGGAAACATAAACAAATCACGTATTTTAAAGTCGTTCAAACACACAGGCGTGCTCACCGATCTAACACTGGTGTTTCGACGGCCGAGTGAAATACCCACGGACTTGAAACTTGACTGGAACACCCACGGACTGCTGCCCAAATGACCCCTTGCTGGGAACGGCGCCGAGCCCCCGGGGTTTCCCGTGTGCCGATGATGTTGACTCGTTGTATCCGGCGTGACCCGTGTACTGTTGTTGATCGTTGCGCTTGTGTTCGTGTTTAAGTATCAATAAAGCAATATGGACTTTTATAACACAGAACCGGACACCTTATACGAGCTGGCCTTGTCTCGCCTCTTTTTGTTTTTAAATCCTTTATATTAAGTTCACTTGCTTGCTTGCTTGCGCGCTTACGACCGTACAAATCTTTCGGTCGTTTTTTAACCCACTTCCCGTGATCCAATCGAGCTGACATTTTGCACACAGACTCGTTGTGCGTGACAATTTATTTTCGTGAAATTTTTTTCCCAAATTTTCCACTTTTTAAGGAAAAAAAATCATATTTAATTTAAAATACCAATGTGATAAAAATGAAACTCTTACTCAAGAAAAACTGAAATTAATAATAAAATAAAACCGATGCCACGCATATAAAGGATTTATAGTGAAAAACTTTGTTTTTACGGGTTAATTTTTACTCCATCCCCTCGTCTCTGGCACACACGGGGGGGGGGGGGTAGCTGTTACAGTTCACCAATCGGCACTGGTCGGCGTGTGTGCAGTATGGTCAAGATAACAGCCTCCCGCGTGGCAAATTTTGCGTGGAGAGGCCCTCAGCTAGCAGCGGATTGATAAAAGCTGGACATCGGTGGGAAAAGAGCTTTATTGCTCATTGGATTCCCCCAGTATAAAGACATATTCTGATCCATGATACAGGTTTTTTGTTTGTTAGATCGCGTAAATATAAGTGGGTCGTTAAACCCACCACCACCCAACACAGCCAATTGGTAAGGTTTGTCACGTAGACGAATTGGCATGTTCTGTTCACGTGACAAACCTTACGAATTGTCCGTGTCAGGTGGTGGTGGGTTTAACGACACATATACGCGATCTAACCTAAAACACCTGTACTATGGATGATATTGGTCGCGAAAGCTTACGTGTTCAACTAAATATTCCGAAAATCGCCTGAATTATATTTCTTTTTTTTTATGTAAACGAGAAACGGTATACACATCTGCGTTTAGCATTGAGGGCACCCATGGTGCTGTTTATTATTCGACAGTTTATATTCTTGCCTTCTGTTAGCGAGCGCCGGGGTAGCATAGAGGGACTCGGCTCGCTACGTCGGCTGACGTTTTGGTGGGGAGAGAGGGGGGGGGGTCTTCGATTGACCTCGCGAGGATCGAAGCGCTGGAATTCAGTTGCACCACCCCCGGTCACGTGGCGGCGCTATGAGCGACAGCCTCTCAACGCAGTGTGGTTCTTTAAACCAGGGGTTCCCAACCCCCGGGCTGCAGACCGGTTGGTCCTTGGCCTGTTAGGAACCGGGCCGCACAGCAGCAGGTGAGAGCGGTGAGTCCGCGCATGACTCGCTCATTATTTTATTATTTACCACTTCAAGTCGCAATCGGGTACCCTACCCAGCCGGGTACGGGTACCCGATTGCGACCTCTGGGATGAAGCCATGTTGCAGGCGCGTGTGGGTTGATTCTAGGAACTTGAATTGTGAGAAGAGACAAGACGTTGGGATATGAGTGACAAACGGTGACTCACCAGTGACTCGCGGCCTACCCGTACCCGGCCGCACCAGGGTCGCAAACGGGTAGCCGGGTATCGGGTAGGGTACGGGTATCGGGTACCCGGTTGCGACCTCTGCTTCAAGTTCATTTATTAGGTATAGCTCTGTGAGCCATTCGACTCTTGAATCGGGTGCAACCGCACTTGTCTCAGTCCTGGTAAGCCCACAAAGTTGACCCTGGCCACAATGAGTAAAAAACAAACGTCGCTGGAGAGCTTCTTTGAAAAGGGGGAAAGACCCAATGATGAACCCTGCCCCCCCGTCCGTGAAAAAATTGTCTTCCACGAAACCGGTCCCTGGTGCCAAAAAGGTTGTAGACCGCTGCTTTAAACCGTTACAGCAGACTTGTCAGCCCTTTGGTACCGGCAATCGTTTAAAAAAACGATGTAAATGAACACATAAGATTTGATGAAACAAAGTAGTTGTAACTTACATTCCCGTGCTCAATTTGTTTTTGCAATGATTTACCTTCGAAAAAAAGGCATCTCGCACCCCCAAGGGGTGCATGCACACCAGGTTAAGAACCACTGCTCTCGTGTACGTTGAACTTCTTTCGCACCGTACGTAGCCAGCCGTGTTAATCTGATGCAGCGTTTCTCAGACGTCTTGTCCCGCGGACCATCCAGCCAATCATCCACCCCTGGTGACAAATCGCATCCACTTCTACTCCCTAAATACCACCCATACAAACTTATTAATATTACCGGAATTTATAAACTGTCTATAAGATTTGTTATAGGTTGTAGCGGGGGTGGGGTTTCGATCTTCGGGATAGGGGTAGTTTAATCAGGGTAGTTTACCGAACTTGGGTCGCTGGGTTCATAACGCTACGCACTAACCGCCACACTACCACTCCCCACAACTGCGACAAGCACGCTTCCGCACACTCGCACACCGAACCCGCACAAGGAATAATACCGTTCTGCGAGTTTATTCATGCTTAACAAAGTAGTCGCTGTTTCCGGGAGTGACGCCCGTGAAGGACACAACGTTGGAATGGACAAATCTCCCGCGTATTTACGCTGCGGCACCTGCTCACGCCTCGCACTCTGCCTGTATCTTCGCAGCCGTCACGCGGAGAGACGAGTCAGTTCGCGAGAGCCCAGAGATACATGCTGAGGTCTGATTACGCTCTAATTACTAATGCAAACAGACCTGCATTCCCTTCGCCTTTTATCGGCACAAAGTTGTGTTCCTTACTTATTACACAACAACCTTCACCGGCTCGGCTACTGGATGGGTGGCCCCATCCTGCCTCACCCCCCTTTTATTATAGGATCCGGCCGGTATCATTCCCTGCATATCAAATCTTTGCCAATTTCCCTCCTCCTGAGAAAACCCAGACAATTTTTACTCGCTAGGCAGGCTAGGGGTGAAAAACTCAGCGGAGGGGATCTGATACCGGGGCTAACGCTCTTAAGATTCCTAGGTGTTTGCCGAGGTGATGGTGTGTGTGTGTGTTTAGTGCGTGTGATGTCTCTCCCGACTCGGCGCCTGAGCAGCCTTTGCAGCGCAGTGCCAACGCCGAGGTCTTCCGGCTCCAGAAGGCCCCAGCAGAGAGCCCCAGGAGAGAGCCAGTGCAGCCCTGCCACTCCTCTGCCGGAGGAGCGCAGACCACAGCGATCAGATGACTTGACGTGGCTGACGTGTGGCACGCCAGTTGGCCCCGATGAATGCCAAAGGCAGGAGGCACGACGCCCGGTCCCCGTACGAGGCGTTCACCCTGAACGTCCTTGCTGCTCCACTCCGTTTCCCATGTGGGGTCCGAAGGCCAGGCCTCCATCAAGTAGGACTCTTCCACCCACTCGGCCGCATGAGAGTAATGTTCGACTGGCTGTAGGTTCAGTGCTGGGTTGAGCGTGAAGCTCGCGTTGGCTATCGCTGCGTGCGGTGTTGTGTTAGTTTGCTTCTTATGTTAACGTGATTTATATAGCGAAAAGGGAACAGGAATGGTAGTGGTTATGAGGGGGAGGTTAAGGGGTCGTGGGGTGAGCTGGGGTTTGTTTGGTCTTGCCAGCTTTGGGACTTTTGTTTTGTGAGTGGTGTTTAGAGGAGGGTACTTTATGTTCACTACTAATTTTCTTTTTCTTCTTGGAATGAGTCTGGAGAGCTGGTTTGAACTCCTTGCCACTCAATACCTCCCTCAGCATAACACTCTGTGGATCTTCCTCCTTCTTAAATGAAGTCACTGCAATACACGCACACGCACCACATCATCATGCACACCGTGTCACCACTCGCCCCTCTCTACGGCATGAGACATTATTACACACATCGTATCACTAAAGCACCACTTGCATCGACTTTCCTATGGCATTTTAAGAGCAGAGAATAAGAGGCAACAAATGCGTATGTTGAGTTAGAAAGCCAGGTGATGGCACCTGAAGTAGCCAAATGGATTACATTTGTACATCCTGAAAAAAAGTGTGCGTTGGGCAATGAGCGGCGATGCGATAGACTGCACACATCACTACAGTAACCATCACTCGTATGGACTCGTACCAGCGGCCATAGTCAAGTTAAGTTGATTTGTTAACCAGGTGAGAACTCAAGAGACTAGTATAATTCTCAATAGCAAAAGTGACCTGGGTCACCAACATGTACAAAAGCAACAACAAAATGCTTTTGCGAATAAATAAATTAAAAAGTACAACAATGTATCACATGACAAATCTAAAATATATCACAAATATAAATCATAAATTCTTTGTAGCCTAAGTTGGCTCTGGCAGATTATTCTTTTAGAGATGCTTATACTAACATTTAGACCAATTGACTGACACAGAGCATAGAGAGAGAAGCATAGACTCGCATGGAGAATAAGCAACTCGCATAGAGACCCATGCTATTCAATACAGTAAAACCTTGGATTGCTAGTAACTTGGTCTGTGAGTGTTTTGCAAGACGAGCTAAATTTTAAAATAAATATTAATTTGATAAACGAGCGAGGTCTTGCAATACGAGTCACGTGATCACAACTGATGTACGAGTGCTTTGGATTACAAACACGTTTCCGGAACAAATTATGCTCGCAATCCAAGGTTTTACTGTACATAGTTAAGTGCATTCCCCCTGTTTTTTTCAGGATAAAAATCTGGGAGGTGTCTTGTTTGGGGCACCACAGGCTGACCAAATATTTCACCACCTGACCGCCGATATCTGACAAGCACCGAGGCATTGATCCATCAAGCTTTCCTAGGCATTAGACAGAGTGCAGTTCTGGGTACCATGGCCCAGTGACGTGTTGCCCTACCGGGCCTGTTATCTTACCGAGAATGGCGATGATGAAGATGAGGATGACCACCAGCATACTGCATCCCAATAGCCGGAGGAGGTCATTGTTGCCACGAATCCTGTTGAGGAAACCTAACATCACACCGCAACATAGTATCATAGCATGCACACCACACCATGGCACGTCCAAGCGTTCCAAACACACCACAGTGCAAAACGTGTCATAGTATGCATCATCACACCACATCAAAGCATGCCAACACACTGTGACACGTCATAGCACACCACATCACATAAGTGAGACCCATAGAGTGAATAAAAAATGGTATCCTGTGGTTGCAACAGCAGGCCATTCTGTGCTCGCCTTAATCGCAACATTCTAACTGACAGTATACGTAACAAAATGTTCAGATTATTGTTTATTACGACAATTGTTTAACCAAAATTAACCTCACTGAGGCTGGTGACTCGTTTTCAGGAGGGTCCTGCCAAGTTTTTTCGCAGTCGTGAGCGATGGCTGCTACGTCTTATCACAATTGAGCAATTTGCGGGGTTATTTAAATTCGGCAAATTTGTACCACAGGATTATATGTGTACTGATCTTTCAAGTTCAGAGTATGAATAGAGTCAGTTAATTGGGTTCGACCATTTTTGTTCCACTGCTTGATGTCCAGAGAAACTAAGATGTATGTAAATATGTAAAGGGAGTAAATGTGGTGATTCAGTGTTTGTGGTGAGGTGTGTGGCATTGTCTGTGTGTGATATGTGGTTTGTGTGTTACATAGAATGCTTGTGTAGTGTGGCTGCCTTGTGTGGTATTAAACCTGGAAAAGGATGGTGTTTATGATGGAGTTTGGGCAGTCAAGAGCGCAAGTGCATGATGAGATGTTGGTGGTGGGTTTCTGGTAGGTAATGTAAATAGTTGTAGTGTATGAGTGTGGTGGGGGCATATGCGGGATGTGTCAGTGTGGTGTAGTTTGGTGATGGGATGTTATTCTTACTACATGCGGAGCATTTGATGACCACCCGTTCACATGTGCCGCATTTCACTGCCGGCACTGATTTCCTATCTGCATCAACAAAAACATCACCATGAACATCATTAGCAGAGGGGGTATATGTGTGTGCGTGCCTGTATGTGTGTATATGTTGTTACATATGGAGAGTGGTAGTGTAGTGGTTAGTGTGCTGCACTACTAACCTGGCTACCTGAGTTCAAGTGTTGATAATTATCTATACTGGTCCTGGACCTCCCCTAGGTCGACTCAGCTTCAAATGAGAACCTGGTGCAATGTGTAAACATCACCACTGGGGAGCCAAAGGCGTTGGCCACCCACCCCCTCGTGTACCGTGCCGGCCTAGATAGGGTGCTCACTAACATCACTTGCCTCAAAAATCTGTTAAGGCTATACTGAGGATATTTAACTTTGTTACATATGGGCAGTGGCATGTCGTGGTAAGCACACTGAACTACGAACCCAGTGACCCAAGTTGGATTATCCTGCTCACAGCCAACATTTGTGATAAATATATGAACCGGTCCCGGGCTTCCCATAGAACTGCTCAGCCTTAAATGAGTAACTGGTGCAGTGCCGCTGGTCGCTCACCCCTTTGTGTACCGTGCCAGCCTGAATAGGTGTTCGTGAACAGCACGTGCCCCAAAAGTCTGTTAAAGGCTATAGGGGGGATCTTTTTGTGTGGTGATGAATGGGCATTGTGGTTACATGTGTGGCTTTGTGAGTGGGGTTTTTTTTATCACTTTTGCTGGGAGAGAGATGATAACAGAAGGACGAGACTGTTTAAGTTTGCACCAGGAAGACAAGGCCATTATCTGGCTTTCTGCGGCGAACGTGATGACAACGTACAATTTGGGAAGGCGATACTCTCGCAGCAAAGTCTCTGGCGATGGGCAGGATGAGTTGCAGTTTTTCTTTGTTTTTAACCAGCACATGAAAAGATGTGGCATCACTAGCTCTGTAGGAGTTTGTTCAGAACGAATCGGGTGTAGAATGAATGAACGTGCTGTGTATGTGCGCATAGTTCCTGTGTGTCATTTGGGGTGTACGACCGCTCACCACAGTTTTCGCACGGCGCCTCTGCAAGCTCTGTGGATAAACAAACAAGAGCAATGCTCACGAATGAACAATTAAGCAATGATCATGGCACCTGATTAATTCAGATCGTGTGCAGGCGCTAGGTTGGATTGTTACATCACAGGACCGTGACAGACGGTGACTGGGGAGGCCTTCATCCAGCAGTGGAATTAACTTGGCTGCTGATGATGATGAATGTCTAACCTCACATTTTTCTTTGATAAATGTTTGGCTGCTCAATACCCATTCGTGGAGCACTCAGCGGGATCATCATTATATTCATTGCCGAGAATCAAACCCAGTGTCTCAACCGTGCTCACCAAGTTTGAAAATGATTGTTTAACTAAACATTTTAACAATCGCAGTCCCAATGAACTTGGCTCGGTAAGCACAGGTGGGGGAAGGATTGGGGAGAATGTTGTTGGGTCACGATGACCAAGCCTCCAGTTTCAAGTTGATTTTGTGTCACCGGGTGGGAACTCCAGACACCGAGATGAGTCTTATTTGTTTTTTTCGGTAAAGTCACGTAGGTAAAAAATCTAATAAAATATAACAACTAAATTAAAGCACACTTAAGCGGTTGTGCTTTCGTTACGTTGTCCCCACCTGAAGAAGGACGCTTGTGTTGCGCCCGGAACGTCGTGATTTAATTTAGTTGTTTTCACTCATTTTATTTTTTACCTACGTGACTTTACAAAAAAAAACAAAGAGTATGAATCCTTGCAGTCACGAAAGCTTCAAATCTAGGAGTCTTATTTTCACGAGTGACCTGGGTCACCAACATGACAAAAGAAAAACAAAATAAAGTACAGCTACGACGCCAATCCAGGGCCAGCCCTGCGGCTAAACACTGGACATGGGAAACACGCGTTTGGCTTCAGCCTCTCAATCCCAGCTTCACTCTCACTCACGTTGGATCACTTCGTCGTATTCTCTTCCGAGAGTGATTAACTTCCTCAGCACATCTGTAGAAACAAGAACACCATCAATATCTGTACCATCAACACCATTACCACAATCGCCATCGCTAAAGCTATCAACACATTCATCGGTATTACCCTTAAAATGTATGTAATGATGAGTTATTATGGACCGCTTATTGAATGAGTTTCTCATTTTACAATTATTATGCTATAACAGTAGGATTATTCAGCTCAGGTAACTTAACCACACTTTGACTACCGTTACAATTTCTCGAGCTATCAACCGGATCCAGTGCCGCACGTCTGCAATCCAGAATTTGGAGGCAAGGGTTGGTTGGATCACGTGGACTTTTCACCAAAGCCGGCTTGGCTCTGCATCTAGTGGGTTCATATTATCTCATCTTAAAAGAATGTATATAGCTCCTCATCCAAGGCGCTTTGCACAGAATAACAATCGTACACATGAATGTAACGGTGGCGATGAGGTGAATGAAATAGATAAGAGGAAGCAATGGGGGGAAATCTGTGATGATGCGTGATTTCGGGAACAGCGAAAGTGATGACGGTAAATGATGATGAATGGATTGAATGAACGGGGAATGAGTGAAAGCATTATCAGAATATGAAGAGGTAAAAGTAACGGAGGGGGTTATGAGGGGGAGAATAAGGGGTCGTGGGGTGAGCTCGGGAAAATAAGTGAGTTTTGAGTGTGCTGGCCTTTGGATGTTATCCCCCCGCACGTGAATTTTCCCTGTCTACGTTATCCTTCCCGCACCCAGTGAAACACGCCACTACATGAAATTGGAATTCATCCGTTACTTCCAGAATCTGACTGCATGGATAAATATAAAACAGTATTCCTACCACAGCTATGCTAATTATGCTACTTAGAACAGTTAAAGTGTTTCGATTTAAAGCTTTCGTGACTGCAGGGATTCATCTTCTTGTTTCTTTCGGTAAAGTCACGTAGAAGGGAAGTAATAAAATAATAAAAATTGTTTTATTATGTTTTATTTTTATTATTTTATTACTTCCCTTCTACGTGACTTTACCGAAAGAAACAAGAAGTTAAAGTGTTACCTGGAATATCGACGTCGTTTTTGCCACCCAACATTCCTGGAGACAGAGACAACGACAACGACTGATGAGACAATGTGCATCGGCTCCAATGTTACTTCAACTGTTTCAACAGACCGCGCAATGCGTGAGTTCTCCCAGTGGTGTGCCGTGAGATTGACCAGCAGTCGTGTGAGATCAGGGGGAGAGGGAGGTGAAAGGGTCCAGTGGTGGCGGGGCAACCCCGTAGCGTGACCTTATTTAAAGGTGGCACACCAACCTCGACGCTGAGCAAACGTTAAACAAATAATTGAACTAAACACGATGTATGTTTGATAAAACACATGCATGTGAGGGGGCAACATTCACACAGAAGGAACAGGTGATATTAGTCTACACATTGCTGCACCACCTTCTCAATAACGCTACTTGTACAAGTTCAAGTTTTACCTGGAATCTTCATCGATTTGAGGCTGTCAAATAATCCTGGAGAGGAAGACACAATGACAGATTAGGCAATGTACACCAACTCCAATGCTAATTGCATTCGCAGCGCAACTCTCAGACCGTGAAATGCGCGAGTTCACCCAGTGGTGTGACGTGAGATTGACTAGCAGTGGCGTGAGACCAGGAGGGGAGGGAGGTGAAAGGGGTAAGTGGTGGAGGGGCAACCCTTCAGCGTGACCTTCATTTATAAGTATAACCCGTAAAAACAAAGTTTTTCACTCTAAATCCTTTATATGCGTGGCGGCTAGAGTCCTCTCGTCCTCTGGCTTGAGATGGCTGCCACCTATGGGTCAGATGATTGTCTGCAGTATTAAACAATTGGTAATTAAATATTTAATTTGTTTTCCCTAAACAGTGTAAAATTTAGGAAAGATTTGTTCACGAACATTAATTGTCTCGCACAACGAGTCTGTGTGCAAAATGTCAGCTCGATTGGATCACGGGAAGTGGGTTAAAAAACGACCGAAAGGTTTGCACGGTCGTAAGCAAGCAAGAAAGCACGCAAGCAAGCAAGCGAACTTAATATAAAGGATTCAAAAAGTGGGGGGAGGGGTCACGACTCAGTTAAGGCTTCACAAACTTTAAACGAATATGAAACACTAAACACAATGTGTATGACACGATCTGCTATCGTCTGTCGTTCATTCTGCCATTACCCGAAACAAAACCTATTATCTAATATTCATTTTAAGGCCACGGTTTTATTGACGGATGTGTTGAGTTTATGATGGTGTTATTTGTGCTTGTGCACCGCTGCCAACGCAGCAGCATCACCAACTAATTTGTGTTCATGAAGAAAGATTGTGACGCCCATTGATTAATTGAACTCATGTTGGCTTATTGTGCTGCCCATTCCAGCCACTGCGGACAGTCTCCATACCAAATCATCACCGGTGTTCACCAAACGGGTGAACTCTGAAGTCAACCACCACTGGTGTTACATATGGCCCCAAGGAGGTGGGGGGAAGTCTACCCTGTGCTCAGATGTTGAGTGCCATGAAACTGTATGTGTGTGTGTCTGGGGAGAGTAGTGACGGAGTGACTGAGCTCGCCTTGGGAAAAGTCACAATCCTCAAAGTTTATGAGCCCAGAACCGAATAAATCACTTTGTCAGTACCACCTGAGGTGGCATACATTTACTGGTTTCAATTTCTCTGTGGCCAATAACAGTGAATGATAAGATCCTCAATGCGAAATAAGAGGAGTTATCAGATAATTCACTTGTATTAGCCGCATACCTAAATTGGTACCGACTCAAGTGTTGCAAACTGAGGTGGTACCAATTTATTTTCTGGTCCATGGACTATCATGTCCGTGCAATGAGAATTAGCAGTAAGACTAAGAAGCAGATTTATATGTGTGGTGCTGAGCGAGTGTGGTTGTGGTGGTGTGGTTGTGAATGTGGTGTGGTGGTGAGGGCATGCTGTGATGTTGTTTTGGTGGTAAGTGTGGTGAGTGCGTAACATTCACCCTTTGGCTTCATGGAGTCAATGATATCGACAACCTTCTTCATGTAAATCGGTGCCACGTCGTCAAAATCGACTGTGAAGACATAAAAATCGATCGTAACATTAACTGCCACCACTGTCAACCTTCACTGATAGTAGCATGAAAGTATCAGCAACACGACCTTTGACTTCCGCACCTCCGATTACCACGGTTGGCTACGTACGGTGCGGAAGAAGTTCAACATACATACACACATAGCACCAGGTTCACATCTTGAGCAAAATAAACATTTGATGAGGTGGGAGAAATTTACCCGTATTCACACAGCGCTCCTTGTCAGTACCCGGGCCCACCCTGGAGACGTTAATCATCTAACCAGTACAGTGAATTATGTCCCTTGAAGAAGGGCTATTGTCCGAAAAGTTGCCTGTTATAGATTTCTCCTTCGAAGACAACACCGTTATGGACGAATGTATTGGGTTTTACGAGATCCAACTCCACACGTGCCGGTCTCGAATTCACATGCTCAATACATACACTTTCACCAATCACTCAAGGCTTCCCTAAGCGTTGTTGACTTTAGTAAGTGTTGTATGTTTGAGAAAAATTGTTTTTAATTTGTATTCCACTCCAAAACAGGACAAAGTTTTATTTCTAGACCATGCAGTATAAGTCATGGATACATCTGTCTATATGGTATGAGGAATTAATGTTATCCGTTTTCATTCTGTCACTTTCAAATGTCAGAAATCCAAAACTGTAAGGTGAACAAAAGGTAACAATGGCTCGTACTACTGGCTGATTTGCTAGTTGGTTAGTGCTCAATGGCGGGCTAGTACTCGTCAATTATTGGTTAGTTATCAAGGGTTAGGTGCGAGGTTCGTGTTTAACTGGACAGTGAGCTTCCTCCCAATTGCAAAATGTCACCTTCTCAGTTTCGTGTCGCCTGTTCAGTTTAGGATTGAGTGTGGTGATTGAGAGCAGAGATTGGCATAGGGGTTTGAGAGCAGAGATTGAGAGCTGAGATAGAAAGATAGTGAGGAGTGACAGAGGGGGTTGAGAGCTGGGATTGAGAGCTGAAATAGAGTGGGGGTTGATCGAGTGGTTTGAGAACTGGGATTGACAGAGGGATTTTAAAGTGGGGAATGAGAGTGTGTTGCCTCCGAAACGTCGTGATTTTTATCTTTATTTTATTTTCATTAATTTTGATGTTTTACCTACGTGACTTTACCGAAAAAACCTAAGAATATGAATCCTTGCAGTCACGAAAGCTTCAAATCTAGAATGAATGCCCTCTACGGGGAGGAATTCCACCTATCTGTTAGAGTTTTTAACAGACAACGAGACAAGAAGTCACAGCTTCTCGAGACGCTGGCCTTCCTCAAGAGATGCCGAGATAACAAGGTAATACCCATCGCTTTACCACATTCTGATGAGCTCCCCCCCCCCTCTCCTCCCCCCTCAACTTGCTTTTAAGGGATTACATCTTGAATCATTGCCTCACTTGATGCAGCTAATCCGGCTGTGACGGTCCCACCTGATGACGGAGACTTGTGTTGCCTCCGAAACGTCGTGATTATTATCTTTATTTTATTTTCATTAATTTTGATGTTTTACCTACGTGACTTTACCGAAAAAACCTAAGAATAAAAAATGAGAGTATGGATTTTACAGCGCGACTTGTATGTATGTTGAACTTCTTTCGCAACGTACATAGCCAACCATGCTAATCGGAAGTGCAGGGGAAAGACAACAATCTAAACACAAAAAGCAGTTTTAAAGAAATGAGTTTCCTTTTCAGACTCTGTCTCCTCGACAGACCTGTTCGCCACCTGAGGACGGCTACTTGCGTTGTGGCCGAAACGTCGCGAGAATTATTTTATGATGTTTTATTTGTATTATTTCCATTCTACGTGACTTTACCGAAAGAACCAGGAATAAAATGAGTTTCCACTTACACAGAAATGGGGCCTCTTTGCTGCCAATCTCCATTATGACGTTGTCCACTTGTTGCATCTGCTCCGCGCTCAAGCCTTGGATTGGCACCTTCAGCTGCGTCCGCACGTTCTCAAAGATCGGTGAGCAGCGCAAGCAGCAAAGCACTGGGCTCACGGGCCAGACCAGCAGAAGCAGCAGCATTGGCAGGGTCCCGGGAAACATCGTGGAGCAAGAAGTGAGACCCAACAGCAGCGACACAACCACCTCTCCTAAACACAACCACACACAGCATTGGCTCTCTGGTGCCCGAAACAGTAAACATAATTAGAACAAAAACGTAAGCACTGAAACCACAATAAGCAATACAGAACCACATTACCACTAAACAACCACCAGCGACTTTACACAAACTTACCACTGAACGCAATCGCAATACACAACCACTTTACTCAACACAATTACCGCTACAATACGCAATTGCCACTTAACACAGCCACCCCAAACAAGGAACACATTATCCACCAGGCAAGAACCACTAAACACAACCAACATTCACAAAGATTACGACGGCATAAGGGGCCGTCCCTAAATGACGTCACGCGATTGTGGGCGATTTTTGACCCCCCCCCCCTCGTCACACGGCGTCACAAAGTCTGACCCCCCCCCCTCAAATATGACGTCACAAAGCTCTGTCGAACTCCCCCAAACCATATTTACATTTTGAAAATAAAACATGCTTCAAATCACTTTAAACTATTGTCATTGTAGTGCGTATTTAATGTGGCGATGCACTCTGATGTTGTAGGAGTATTGTTATAACAATTCTATATCATGGGACCTCCTTTGCCAGTACCAAAATATACCAATAGGGTTTTTCCCCTTTTTTCTGGCAACAAAACTAACACCTTTTGCAAGGAATCATGCTTACATTAACCGCAATACCTGCAGTCAAATGCAAACAAAAACACAATACTCTGGTAATTTATGCATTGTCTTTGAAACTGATTGGTCCACACCAGAGACAGCTTTCTTTGGAGCCTCGTCTCATATGGTGTTCGACCAGATGACGCCAAAAGACGTCTTTTGGCGTCATCCAAAGAAAGCTGTCTCTGGTGTGGACCAATCAGTTTCAAAGACAATGCATAAATTACCAGAGTATTGTGTTTTTGTTTGCATTTGACTGCAAGTATTGCGGTTAATGTAGACAAGATTCCTTGCAAAAGGTGTTAGTTTTGTTGCCAGAAAAAAGGGGAAAAACCCTATTGGAACAATTCTATATGTTTGGTTCTTTCGGTAAAGTCACGTAGAAGGGAAACAATAAATAATACAAATGTAAAACAATTAAATGCTCACGACGTTTCGATTGCAACACAAGCAATCATCATCAGGTGTGAAAAATACAGCAAGAAATTTTGAAAAAGTACCACTTTTTTCAAATTTGCCACTTTTTTCAAGTTTTCTTGCTGTGGATTACACACATGATGATTGCTTGTGTTGCAGTCAAAACGTCGTGATAATATTTATTGTTAAATATTTGTATTACTTTATTATTTCCCTTCTACGTGACTTTACCGAAAGAACCAATAATACGTGTACAAGTATATAAGTGTAGCGCGGCGCGCGAAATTCCCATGCGCTTACCTTAACGCGTGAGGGGAATAATTTTTGTATATTTTTTAAGTGATCGTCTTTCTTGTAATCGTGGCACACAAAAAAGATGATCTCCAACGGTTGTTTTAGTTGTAATTAATGATCTGCGCGTCGATTAAAATCGTTAAAATGTTTACGGCCGCTCGCGATTTTGCCTCGTGCGTTCCCGCCTCCAAATCTGACGCTAATTTATGACTGACGTCACCGCGCGCGTCATAACAAAAAAAAACGCAGTGACGTCATTCAACAGTGTCCCATATCCTCCGGTGACGTAGAAGCCGAGCGCGTGCCGCGACATGACGTCACTTTTTCATTTCTCCCTCCGCCCCCTCCCTCCCTCCCTCCCCGGCAACATCACGGGAGCCATGATGGCACCCCCAAGGCTTCTTGGGTTAGCGGCTTAGAGCAGCAAGCAAGCGAACGAGCAAGCAAGCAAGCAGCCGTCGACTCCCTTGTGGCCGCGAAAAGAACAGAGGGCGAACCGCAGAGGGGAACGAAGAGCAAATGACGGCGGCGCAGCGGTTCGGCATGGCCTCGGAGCTGCACTCGGAGGCGGCCGAGGAGACGGGCAGCACCACGGATAGTAGGCCCACGTCTGACCGGGTGAGTAGCGTGAGGAGGAGAGAGCGGGGAAAGTCGGGGGGCTGGCGGTGGTTGGGATGTAGGGACCCACCACCAGGATCTCTGGGGTCGTCTAGGGGGGCTTGTGGGGGTGACGTCTCGGTGAGGCGTGCGGCTGTCTGGGGGTCTCGGGTCCGAAGTTTGGGGCCTACAGAATGTCAGGCGGTGGACTTGCTGGGCTGCGACACGTTTAGTGTGAGTCACTCGGTTATTGTCGTGTAAAGCGGTGCAAGTTGCAGAAGAATAAACACGTAACTTTCACTTAAGCTGTTTAAAGAGACCGGCTACTGACTGCAGTGTTCTTACACTCCTTTTCAAATGGGGGTGGTGAGGGCACTTTCGTCGATAAGACATTATCGGTGTGAGGGCCGCCACACATTTGAAACCAATGGGGGTTTGCCAGCATGCTGGGGGTTTTTCTCACTATTTGTGTATTGTCGGGGGCCGAACACAAGGCCGCCAGAGTGGCCCGCGGACCTTACGATGAAGAATACTTAGCTACGGAATGTCCGTGGTCTCGGATTTTATGATACAGGGTCTAAATCGGTGTCACTGGCAGAGGACTCAGTGCTAGCGTCCAGCGTTTATAATCTGCAGTCTTTAGGGTCTGGAGACCCAAGATCTGGAGACCCAAGATCTGCAATCCGTCATCTGGGATGTATGCGGTCTTTTGGAGTCTCTGGCCCGAGGTCTAGAGTCTGTGAGGTTGACATTCTGGGGAATGTCTCTGAGATTGCGGATCCGCGTGGCCTGTGGTGTCAGGAGTCTGGAGTATTTGGGATCTTCGTGGTTTATGGGGGTTTGGGGGGGGGGTCTCGAGAATATGTGATGTGTTGGCAGCACGGGGGATGTTGGGTCTGCGTGGATTGTATCACCGCGGAAGTTGTGCAGTCTTTGTCACAGAGAGGCACGGACAGACAGATACTGAGAGAGACGTAAATGCAGGGAGAGGAGCAGACACATGGAGCAAGTGGTTTGTGTTCTCTAGGATTGGCGGTCTGTAGTTTAAATACAAAATGGTTTCGCCCATTATTTTAGCAGCAAATGCTTTTTTTCGTCTAAAATAAGACTTTGAGTAATATATTTGCCAAAATGAGCCCTCTGAAAGTGTATCTCAAGAGCAGCATGTACATTTGCACCTCTGTAACTTTTTGTCATAGAAGCGTTGAGTAGATGATTGCAATCCCAACTCGACAAAGCAGAGAGAGAAATGTGTAACAGTTGGTGTAAGTGGCCTTGCATCCTAAAAATCAGCCCGGGAAGGGCCCTTGCCCAAAATTTATTTTCCAACACATTCAATTCCCAGCCACAGCTAACATCATTTAATGGACATCTGTGAAAAAGAGCTTTATAGCTCATCAGATTCCTCCAGTGTAAATAGATATTCTGATTCAGTGGCGAGTGATATGCACATACCTGTAAACCCCTTATCAGTGCCTACTTTATTACAGACCAATTCAGACCTTCTTGGTCATCCCGTGCCCTTATATATCTCAACGTTCATCCTACAAAGTCCGATCACAAGGGAGAAACACAAACAAATAGAGCAATTTTTTTTCCCGTATTGAAACGGCTGTACGCCGTATGGACCTGAAACTAAATTTCCCTGAACAATAATACGGGTAAACCGCATGGGTTGACAGGTATGTATGTGAACCAGTCCTAGACCACCTTTCGTTTCTATGGACAAACAAATGACGGAGTGTCGAGGCCTTCGTCAAGCAGTGGATGGACAAACAACATTGCATTATAACATGGTGTCAATTATTATATTGGTAATGTGTTTTCAGCCGACGTTTTGATTTGCTTCCTGTCATTTATTACTAGGTCGTGGACTTGATCAACCAGGCTTCACTCACAACAAATGAATCTCAAAAGTTGCTCCTGCTGAAACAGGTAAGTGTCCGTGTGTACGTGCGTGCGCGCGCACTGTGACAATGCCAGTCCAAAACCAAAAGGACGGCAATATGCAATGCAACCGCTGTCATTGGTTCCCTATTAACTCTTGAATTTAGGCATAATAACTTGCCCCATATCGTAAATCTATTTCACTCATTCGACTGCACAACCATACTGCACTGGAGCCATGCTGAGCTAGACCTGCGCAGCTCAGGAGGTGCCCAGGTTTTATTTCCACTGCAGATCCACTGCTGTGCCACTGACATCACAGTTCACATGTCGTGAGTTAAATATCGAGAATGATTTACCTCTGCTCCTGGCTCTGTTTGGCTGGAGCCAAATTTATATTTTGGTTCTGACTCAGCAAATTACCAGTGGAAAAACCACCAGCACTGAGGGCCCCACCATGCTAGCATGGCTCAGATGTGCCAGTGGAGTTCCAAGTGAGCAGCCTTATTCTTGACATTAAACATGGCCAATAGGTTTCAAGTTTTCAAGTTTCATTTATTTGGTATAGCCCTGTGAGCCATTCGGCTCTTGAATCGGGTGCAACCGCAACAAACAAGAACATGAACAAGAAAACATCTTCAAGTGACTATGTGACTAAGTGCAAACAGAAAATCCAAGAAAAGACAGCAAAATATTGCAGAAAAAGCACCGTACACCAAAGTACCGCCAATAGGAAACATACGTATCTGCCATCTGTGTAATTCCTGTAAGGATGGGGGCATACATTATGAAAAACCTCTGCTTAGTACAATACTGGAAACCTTTGTCAATCGTCTTGATCATAATGAATGCCATCTCGTTTGTTCACAGGTTCAGGAACTGATTGTCAACAAGGAACCAGCCCTCCTGGATAACTTCCTCGATGTAAGGCTCTGTAAAATGTGTGACCTAAAATTTAAATGAAAACAAAGTAAAGGGGCGGCTCCATTGGCAGTGGTGTATGGGCACAAATTAAAATTTTAAGGGAGTGCGTTTGATCTGTGCCCGTAAATGTGTAGATACTTTTCGAACTAAAACAAGAATGAGATGGATAGAATTTAAAAGCCAGATCACCACTTGAGAATTGTATCGATACTTGCGGGTCGATAAGCTCTGCTACATTTGTGTTTTGGATGGTGGGAAAAAATATCCTGGTGTCAATTATTGAAGTCATTAATCCAGTTATAATGGATTTCAACTTTTAGTGTCATTTGTAAAATCAACCACGATAAAAAAAGTTTTATTTATTTATCAGGTTAATTCTTCTGAATGTAGTTTTTTGTTTTTCTTTCCCAAATGTATTCCAATTTTTTCAGCTCATGCATTAAAAGTGTCTATTCAGAAGAATTGAACAGCGGGACATGCTTACGTAACCATGCGTATATCACTTCGCTCCGCTTTTTTCAGGAAATGATCGCGTTTCAAAATGACAGACTATTGGAAATTCGTAAATTTATCATTGGCTTCATGGAAGAAGCATGGTAAGTTTCATATTTCTTACATCTTTGTTTACCTACAGCTATCAATAGGTACAGAATGATTCGGGGGCCCAGTTTCGATTTGATGTATCGTCACAAATCAGGTGTGGGATTTAATTCAAGAATCAATTCATGAAATGATGCGCTGTCGTGCCTTTTGTGGGTGAGGGTGGTGGTCTCGTGAAATTAATGCAACATAGTTATTCAGAATATTTTTCACTCTACATAAATCGTCATTTTTACTGTCTGACGCATGCATCGTGAATGTAACAATATATTTTAATTCATGAGTTAATGCATAGCTGAATGCTTTGATTAGCGTATCATGTAGAGCTCGTCCATAGGAATATATTGCCGTATTGTTCGCCTTCAACAGACATAAAATGACGTCGCAATGCAGTTTATGCGAGAGCCGGGGGCTTATGGTACCCCGGGGTCCCGCCATAAGGTTCAATTGTTGGCTTATAACCCATGCTATATTAAAACCTAGTTATGAAAGCTGAATTCCTACCATGGGAACTTATAATGTATAGATGGAATTTATCATGTGTAACATCTGGATTGCATCCAGTCTCATCAGATCTTAGAAGCTAACCAGGTTTGAGCCTGGAAAGTGACTGGAAGGGTGACCAGCATGCATTGCATAGGTCTTGTCGGCGAATATGAGGCTATGTTTGTGAACAGTGGGCAGTGCCGCAAAACCCATTCTTGTACTGTACTATGCTCCCACGTCTGTGCTTCCCTCCACCAAACCGGCACCGATCAGCGTGGTGATGTATGTTCAAACAATCCCCACAATCTGCACGTGTCTTAGGTAGGCCTCGTCCAATAGTGGATTGACAAAATGGGCTTGACATTTATAAGGATGCACTGGCCTTCCCAGGCATATGCAAGTAGTTCCGCTTGACGATCCTGCGACGGGTTCCGCGGTGTTGCTATCAAGTCGGCGTGCGGGACGTGCAACTGTGCACCAGCACCCATGCGCTGGCGGGCACTCAGGCGCAAGGCTATAAAGAGCGAGGAAATTGGACATGGGGGCACCCATTTTATTCCTTGCATCCAGAGCCCTTGCCTACCACACTACAGCCACTGTCTTCCCCAAGGATCGCCGCCTCGCCATGGTGGTGAAGCGTGTGCGGTGCTGAGATCCCAAGAGCGATGCCGTTGTTGCTTT